TCTTTTGAAATTCATCGATAAATAATTTTCTCGAAAATTTGGTTCTTAAAATTTATAAAAATAAACTTTGGCATCATACGCAAAAGAAATAGTTATCAGTTTATCCGATTTTATGCAGTCACGGGACATAGAAATTGCAACTTTTTGATTTCAGCGAAAACGTGAATGAACCATAATTCACGTTTTGTTTGTTTTCTCTGCAACTATTTAAGATTCAGTTTTCGACTTTTGACAAAAAGTAAATGAAACGTTTTGAAAGCGCTTAACTAAGCCGAAAATTGAGAAACCTTGGCCAGCATATCAAAAATAGTATTAGAGGTGTTCTTGCTGTGAAAACAACCTCACAAACATTGTGAGGAATTCAATTTTTTTGTCATGCTTATGTTATTTAAAAATGACAAATAACAGAATTAACTGAGTTACTGTGTCCGAGGTCGAGAAACGGTCATATCTGTTTTCACGACACATACACTAAATTTTCTTAGGATATTATCCAGAAAACTGAATAAAATTTACATGCAACACAACTGCTAATAAGACTCCTATGCTTAGACTGGAGCAGTAATTTTCCAAAAAATTTCAGTGGTTTTTTTACCGAAATTGATCATCAGCGCTAAGTTATTCCTAAAACTTAAGCCGTTTTTCTTACGCCAGACCTAGTAACTCTGTTAATTCTGTTATTTGTCACTTTAGGTACCATAATGAGTAAGTCTAGCCCCGCAGCTTCCCAATGAAGTAATTTTAGCCCAAAATTTCAATTTCCTCATATTTTTGCTGAGTTGTTTCCACAGCAAGAACACCTCTAAAATTGGTTATGACATTTTGGCTAATTTAGGCCTTCAAAACAATATTTCCCATTTTTGGCCCGGTTAAGTCCCTTCAAATAACTTTATTTACCATATGTGTAAATTTGAACCTAGTATCCTGAATAGTTGCAGAGAAAACCATGAAAACGTGAAGAAACAGTTCGCTCATTTTTTCGCGGAAATCAAAGAGCTGAAGTTCTATGCCTCGTGACAGTATAATTAATCGTTTCAAGAACAACTGGCGGAAGCGCTGATTAACACGCAGAGGAGGTACGTATTCATTCTAGAAATGGAGCGCACACAAAGTATAGCCACAAAAGTTCAGGTGAAAATAGAATAGGATATTTTACCGAAAAAAAAGTTATGTACATTTTGTAAAACGTTTCCCTTTACCCCTAAATTCGTTTGCTCTCCCAGAAAGTTTTGGATGTAATAGTTTTTCCTCATCAAGTGGAGCGTTCTGATGACACCATTTTTGATAACGCAAACTAAGTTTTTTCCTTGAGTTGAAATACTCCTGAGAAACGCGGCAATGAACATAATGATTTATTTTGTCAAGATAAATTTGAGGTTAACAAGCGCGCTTAGAGCCGAACACAATGATCGGACCAAATCGTTTTTTACAAAAACTGAGATTTTTTTTATTCCAAAGCAGTCCATTTAGTTTTCGTTAAACTCTTTCTATGACATGATAAAGTAAGCAACTACATACCCGCAGTTACAATGAATAAAAGAACTGACTTTCTATTTAAAAATATACAGATTTCATTTTTGTTGTAATTTTATATTGTGAAATTCGACTATGTAATTTTAAAAACTGATTATAATGCATATTGTTTTGCAAACGTTTTATACTGTATGTTTTCATTACATCTTTGGCAAAACACTTTAAAACTAATTTTTCTGTATCGAATTTGATGCTTAGTATGAACAAGTTATATACATATTATCTACAGATTATCTACAGATTATCAACAGATTATCTACAGATTATCTAGAGAATAAATACTGATTATATACAGATTATATACAGATTATATACAGATTATATACATAAAACATTTTGATTATATACTGATTTTCTCAACATTCTCGCCAATCAGATAGAATGCGTTCCTTGAGATAAAATTATAATGCAAACTTCTCATTGAACTAAAAGTATATCTATTTTTACTGAAAATAGGGGGAGGAGAAAACTTACATAAACGACATTTAATCAGTTTGTTGAAGTTTTTGCTAGTTTTAACCAAAATAAATTTTTTTACATTGCAAAAGCACTCAAAACTTTCTTTGAGTGAAATTTTTGACAGATTTTCCCTTCTATTGGAAAATTTTTATTTTCTTAAGCTCAAATCTGAAAAGATATTTTGCCTATGATTGTTTTTAGTAAAAACGTGAACGTTTAACCTTTGTGTCAATTTGGCCCATTTGGTCAATTTGACTAATTTGGGACAATAAGCGCGCAATCCATTTTGTGCTATTAGTGCCTAAGAGGAGATTTAATCTACTTCAAGAATCGTTCCAAATTGTATTCAAGCGAGTTTTTGGTCTTTTAAAAAATTTTGCTACTCGCAAAATAAATAATTTTGTACCTTGTATAGCGTGTGGGGGAGGGTGGTTTCCAAAGAAAAATCCAATTTTTACTAACTTCTTTAGAGCAAACACATTTCTATCGAGCTCAAAAAGAAGTCGGAACATTCAGGGCTTTGCCTTGATACAATCAGTCTTGTTGTTCCGTCTTTCGAAGAAAGTGACGAAATTTTGTTGCTCGAATTTTTTTTTCCTGACAATTTTCAAGTTTTTAACAAGCTATTTTTACGGGAGTTTTTTATATCGTACTGTTGTTGTCCTAATATAAAAACAGTTATTTGAAATGGCCGATTTGAGAAAACATGGGGGCGATATATTTTGAGCTATTGACACGTAACAGGGGATCTAAATTGTCTTAGAAAACGTTCTAAATTGCATTGATGTTTGCTATTTGGTCTATTTATTACTTTGCTGCATGCGTTATATATCATTTTGTACTTTACATTGCTTGTACTGGATGGATTTTAAAACAACTTCAAAAAAAGTTATGTTTTTTTCTTTTTTTTCAAGGCAAACACTTTTCCTTAGACCTTACAAGGTAGTCGGATACGATAAAATGGATACGATAAAGATTTTTGGGGATGATTTTTCGAAAAATCACGCAGCACAAAATTGAACCTTTTTATTTATTTTTGAAAATTTTCTCCATGTTTTAGAGGGAACACTAGTTCACAGACTTTAAAGGCAGGCAGAACACTCACGGTATTACCCTTATACGAACATAATTAATCAAGCTCTGCTGAGCACAAATAATAACCCACTTTCTTCGGAAAATGGAACAATAATGGATCTATCTTCTGATAGTGGACACAAACATCAAAACGCATGCAAGTTGAAAAAGGTTATTTCTGCCTACGATGATGATTGAAATTGCAATTAAAGCATGGTATCAAAAGAGATGATAATAATGGTTGAATGATTATGAAAGAAAGATCGAATGAGTATAAACAACAATTCAGTGATTTTGAAAACTTCATGCTTTCTGAAGTACCTGCTAGTCCGTTGCCTGAAATAAGCTTCAAATGATAATTTTTATGTGATTGAAGAGTTAAATAACTCATAAATTATCACACCAATTGAGTATATAGGGCGGCTGAAAAAGATAAAAAGAAAAACCAGTGCTATGCATGCATCACATATTGTTCCGACCACAACACAAAAAATTAAATGGAAACAAAAAGCAGTGTTTATATTTTTAAATTTTTCTTATAGGGGGTTCAATATTTGAATATCGCGGCTAGAATGAAAGGGCAAATCTGGGTCTTTCTCGACGGTTTTCAAGTTTTATTAGGTCGATCCAATTGATTCTCTGAGCTCTCCTAACTAAAGCGTTTTATAGTCCCTATTTTGACAATAGTATATATTGGCGTCAAAAACAGCTTTAGAAAAATTTTAGGGCTATCCAGTTTTGAATTATGCAAGAGGATGATATTTTTATCACATTAATGAAACTTCAGTCACGGAGTCTGCATATACTTATCCATGGAGGGATTCGTCCCAACTCATCCTTCCCCTCACCACCCAAAGGGGATTCGATCTCTTCACCACCCAAAGGATCCCTTTGACAAAATTGTACTATATCAATTTTGGCTGACTGACGTTAAGTTTTTCCAAAAGAGACTTCGGGGCCAATTCATAGTAACTTTGAAAGGCAATGCCGCGACAAAAAATAAACAGAATTTTTTTGGTCAAAAACCGTCCAAAAAGTCCCCAAAACGGCGTTTTGGTCTCCTTTGCAAAAATTATGATAATTCATTTGATGAGGTAGTCTGGCAATAATTCAAGTCGTGGTACCTAATTGAGTGTAAAACACACCCGAATCGTTGTTCGTTCTCACCTTCTGTGGTCTGGAACAGGGGCGGATTTGAGGGGGGGGGGGGGCGGGGGCGGACCCTAAGGGATTCGACCCCCTTTGTACTATTTTGAAATATATATTTTTGGTGATGGACCCTAAAATTTTTCTAAAGGCGCCTTGGGCGAGGGGGAGAGCGCGCCGAACCGAAAAAAACCCAATTTTTTGGTAAAATTTTTCCAAAATGTGCGTAAAAACGTCTTTTTTTGGCCTGTTTTTTCAAAACTTTACCTGCGGCGCAGAAGTTTTGGCCAAAACAGGGTTTCTATAGTGATTTGGTAGAGCTAAGAAAATCAAAATGGTCGACCTAAAAAAAAGGTCGATCAAAATTTTTTTGAAAATCCACCCCCCCCCCCCCCCTCCCCCTCGAAAAAATCCTAGATCCGCCCTTGGGTCTGAATATTAGGATTTTTGCATTAATCTTGCAAAAAAAATTTGAGCTTCCCACGTTTGAGCACCTTAACAGAGTTTTATAAAACCTTCAAAATATAATCAAATGCTAGCTTTCAATTGCTTCTGAAATGCAAAAATTTCTAATAGTTACTCAGTTTCATTCTCTGAAAGGTGAGTCATATTCAAATATAACTCTTTTACGAATTTTTTTATTATGATCATACAAGTGTAGATACAGTTTTGTTTTGTGTATGGGTAGTGTAACGGGGGGGGGGGGGGGGTTAATGATGCTTTCGCTGAGAATTTATACTTCAGAGACGGTGGTAAGACATGGTACAGTAATGGGGTCAGTCACTTACTTCCATATACCATGTTGACACCGGCACTGAAGATAACAATAAGGAGAGAAATAAATATCAAAGAAGTTGTTGTATTCTTGTGTGTCATTCTGCTGCCAGTTATTGTTGTACCACTCTAAACTAGATATTAATTCAGGTCTCAAGAATACTCAGATTGCGCACCTAATAATATGCTTTTGTGCAATCTTTTATTAAATAATAATTTGTGGGGCGTTTATCCCACGTAAGTTACTTTACTACCACCAATGAAAGAAAAGCAACTTGACGAAGTGTAAAAAAATTATAAACAAAAGACACTGTCGATAAATTTTGATTATTTTAGATAGATGGAATTTTGGAGATAAACTGAGACACCTTAATTGAGTGATAACTTGAAGCAGTGCTAAATCAATCAACGGCAATCAGCAGGTTTTTTTCTTTTTATTTGTTTTTTGTTTAAAAGAATATTCACTTCTGCACAAATGAAAGGAAAAAATAAAAAGCAATTAATTGTCGCATTAATATTAGATCAGCTGAATTGCTTTGGGCGATTTGTCATCAATTAAAAACGGCTTTTTTCCAGAAGAAAAAGGAAGTAAATATTTATAAAGGGATATGTTGAGACAGTGGCGAATCGAAAAGGGATACTTGTTTCAGTTTTGGAAGAAAAAGAATTGAAATTATGACCAACTGTTTTAACAACCAATAAATGATGAGCATACTCATAAGATGATTTAGCAATAAAGAGAAATCTTTTTGTTACATTCGCACAACTGCTCTTTCTTTTATTAATTTTAACTTAATTTTCTTTTTAAGGAACTGGTTTTTTTGAATAGAGGGCGCAAATTTAATTTTTACAACCATTTCTTTGTGTAGCTGCAGCCCATTTCTTAATTGAGCTGGTCAAAGGCTCTTGAAATTCGGATTTTTTATTGTTTTATTGGAAAAAAATTATCGTAAAATTGGTTTATTCCCTCAAAAATATAGCTTTTTTTATAGCTACGTTTTTAATACCCCCAAACTTTACAATAAGAGTTCCATTTCAATTAGCATAAAACACCTTAAAATTCAATCGATTGAAAAAGAACTTTGATAAAAAGTTCAATTTTGAACAAATTTTAACGTCGTGTTCAGTTTGACAGCAATCAATGTGCCAATCAGTTGACTAAATTAGAAAGGAAAACTGTACGCAAATAAAACTCACTACTAAAAAACTAGGTGTTTGCACTTGAATAAGTAATGTAAACTTTGAAAATTACAAAGACGTCATTTAAAACGTGTTGAGGCATTTTCAATTAAAATTAGGTTGAAATGTGAACTGATAAAAAAGAACTCAGAGATTCGATAACAAATCTGGTTATGACTCAACAGTTCGACTCTTTCTCTTGCAAAAAAAACGTTGACCGCTGATGGAGATAAAAACATGTAATTTTAAGGTTTTGTCAGAGGTCGAAACACTAAAGCAAACGCTATCAAAAAATATCTCACCCCGCCTCTCAAAAACTTTGCAGTCTCTCTCTGGAGTCTTTTGATAAAAAGCCCTCTTTCATATTCAAGCCACAAGGACAAACTAATTATCCCGATAAGATAATTTCCCTGTATCTGAAAGCTATTGCTGTAATTACGATCTGAATTGAATAAAATTGATCAACCGACTTCATTCAGTTGTTGTCATAACTGATACCTGGCACTAATTTGAAGTAAAGAAAGTGCACAAAGTAATTCGAAGGAAAATGTCTCTTATATTGGAAAGTTTCGAAGGAAACCAAATGAAAAGGGCAACAAGAGCTATAGGGAAAATTTTATTAGAGCTCATTTATTAGGGCAAAACCCTGAATGTTCGGACTGCCCTCTATCGTCGATCACAAGCTGTTGGGTAAAAGCATATTATAAGATGTTCGAAAAAATGGAAAACTTTTCAAAAGTTTTCTTTTTAAATTTTATTCTTCACAAGCCAAGTAAAATACGCGTGTTACAAATATTTTGCGTGTTGCAAATTGATAAGCAAGTTGCTGGCCTCAGTTCAGTTTTGAAGGGTTTACTTTTAAAAATACCGTCAAAAATGCTTAGTTAAAAATCGACAGTTGGCTGAATAAAAACAAGGCTGCATGTCTATCAGAACAGAGCCCTGAATGTTCCGACTGCCTCTTAATTGGGTTTGAATAGTTGTTGCTAGAAAAAAAATGTTGAACAATGTCAAACATCAAATGCAAACATTTGTCTCGAAAAAAAATCAAATCAATTCCATCACAACCTTCCAAATGAAACAAAAAAGTTTTCGTGTTTTCCATTTTTCGGCAGTTCTTGTTTTACCCTGAATGTTTCGACCGTTCTTTAATTGGTCTTGAATAGTTTTTGTGACGAAAAATCATTTCAACTATAAATTTGAAACTGTAATTGTCAATTTATAAAATTCAATCTTTGAATCGCACAAGGATAAAAAATGACTAATTCGTTTGCCTGAATTCATCTTCGAACAATTTTGAGTAGAAGAAACATGTAGCTGGCCAGGCACTAATAAATTGCGTCCTCCGAAAAGGCACAAAATAAAATTCAGGTAAAATAACAATACCTTTGAATTCAAGGAGTCATTATACTCAGTGGAGTATAAGAACTTCTGTTTGAAAATGATTTCGGCTATCAAAGCTATTGTGAATTTAAAAAAAACCAACGCAAGCATAAGTTTTCCTTCACTTTTTCGAACCTACGAAGCTAAGAACTTAAAGACTAAGCTCAAGCTCGACTGATCAAACCATCATGGCATCATAAAACTTGATGTAATTGATTTATAGTAAACAAATTGACTGGCAGTTCTAGAAAAAAAAGTTCCGTTTTATGTTATACGTTATCATGAGCATCAGACTCAACAAGCATTAATTAGTAAAGAATTAAAAATCGCGTCGACGGCAACTTGTTTACTTTTTTCTAATTTTTTTTGGAATGGTAATTTCAAATCATTTTAATAAGCTTTTCTGAGATTCAGATTAAATTTAAAGATAGTACTACTTATTGTAACATCTTTTGTTTTTTCTCATGGCAATTGTCTCAGGAAATAAATTTTTAGTTTCAGAAAACAACAATCTCGATACTTTGCGCTCAAAATTGAAATTAATTTTTTCTATTCAGTCAATTTTCACCGATCGAAATTAAAATGAGCAACAAAATTTTGTTTAACCCAATAAAGATATCAACTTGTTGAGTTCAAATATTAAAAGCTATTTTACCTACAATAACTTTTTTGTTAAGTTCTGGGGGTTTGAAAATTGCCAACTTTGCAATGTGCTGGGCTAAATTATTTACGCTTTGAAGAGTTTACTTATAATGCTGAGAGCGTAAGGAGAATTATTTATAAGTGGCGAACTATCTGGCACAACGAAATCGTTCCAAATTGAATTGAGGCTAGCTAATTGGTTGTATTAATTTTGTACGATTCAAAGTTTTACACATTGATTTTGTCCAAAATGTATAGGTTTTCAATATTTTCTTTGTCAAAAACTTTTCGATATAAATTGAGTGACAGTCCGAACATCAGGGCTTTGCCCTCATATACGAGCAGTATTGTTTATTCAATGTTGCGTTTCTAAATGCAAAAGTTTTCATTGTGTACTAAGCACTGCTTCAAAAATTGAAAACTATCATTTTTGTCTTAAAGTGCAGTAAAGACGTTCAGAAATTTTCTTTGATACGAACAGTTTTCTTTTCATCTGATCTGATGTAATCAAGTTTTTACCAATTTACCTAAGATTTTGCTCTTGTTACTGATTATTTTTTAAAATCTAAGTTGTGTTGTTCCGACTTTTGACTTATGTTTGGTGCAGTTTTTTTCAGTCAGTTTATGGCAATCGAAGTAATAATTTTAAAGCAAAAAAAAATTATACCCTATCAAAAATAATGACTGCTTGAATCAAAATGAAAAGATATTTTATCTCTGATCGTTTTATGCAAAGTTCTGGGACTTTGAAAATAGGCAATTTGGCCATATTCTGGACTAATTGATGCAAGCTTTGAATATTTTATTCCTAATGCTGAACACGTAACGCGATTTATTGATTGCGTGGCAAACAATCGCGCACAAAATTGTTGTTTCGACTTTCGATTCGAAAATAACGGAATATTTGTGCTCAGGGTGGGTTTATTTTTTCTCTTCAGAGAAATTTCGTCTTTTTAACTAGCCCTTTTTGACGGAATTTTCTACATCATTTGAAAGGTATTGTTGTCCTGCGCTTACATTTGAAAAGATATTTCACTTGTGATCTTTTTTCGTAAAGTTACGGGGGTTTAAATCTTGTCATTTTGGCCAACTTGGGACAATTAACGCGCGATATATTTCGCGCTATTAACGCTTAAGCGGAGAGTTAATCCGTCTTAGAAATCGTTCCAAATTGGTTGAAAGAAGCTTATTTGTTTCAATTGATTTGTTACAAGGAGCGAAATCTATCCTTTTGTACTTTATATGGCGTGTGGGTGATGATTTTCATTTAAAAAAATTCAAATTTCAAAAAAATAATAATTTTCATTTTGTTTTATTTCATTTAATTTCTTAAATGTATTACTGCTCCATAAACAGTAAAAGCCGGTCGAAACCTTCAGGGCTTCGCCCTGATACGAGCAGTCTTGTTCTAATTTAAATTTAGGCTATCTAATCGGACGTATTAATTTTATACGACTAATATTTTCACACATTCTCCGATATTGTCCAAAATTTAAAACTTTCCAATATATTTCTCTTAACAAATATATTTAAATGCAGTCGGAACATTCACAGATTCGCCCTGATATACGAGCAGTCTTGTTTTTGTTTCATCAGGATTAGCTTGAAAGGGTTGAAAAAGTTTTACTTTTTGTTATGTTTCGTTTCTTAATTAAAATTGTTAACTTTAATTGGTCATAAGTAAATATTTATAATTTTAACTTTTTGATGAGGAGTGAAAAGATTTTTTTGGCTGAAGACTCTACGGTTTTTTAATGGAGAACAGAAATTTTCAGCTAAGCAAAAGAGGTTTTCTTCAAAATGAAAAATATTAAGTCTTGGGACCCTGTTGCGAGAAAAAGGCGAAGCATTATATAATGGCTCTGAGTTTGAATAGAAGAATAGTATTCGCTTCCTGATTTTGTCTTCGTACTTCCTTTAATTAATAAGAAACTAGTTCCGTCCGAGTCAATGTAGAGAGAAGTGCCACAAGAGTTGTCAGCATCAAGAACATGAGTGTCTGTGGACATGATAGACTTGCTGGAAATTTGCTGCCGGCAGGGAATATTGAGTTAGGACCGAGTTGGTTAACTCATAGAGTAATTTCGGATAGGGTACACCGTCTGCTCGTCACGCTATCTTATTTTCGGCCGGATAGATTCGTGCAACTTCTTAGTCTAATACCGATCCTAATCTTACTCTTATACTATCTAGTCTCAGGTTGTTTAACTAGTCTCTGCTAGGCTCAATAGATCTAGGGTATACTGGTTTATTGCGGTTGCTGAAGTGCTCGGGAGAGTCCAACTAATTTCTAAGTTAAATTCAAATCTCTCTGGTGCTGAAATTACAAGTAACTTCAGCACTTACAAATAAGTGGGTTGTTAGTTAGATGGATCATGATTGGTTAATATTAAATACTTTACATTGGTAAAACATTTAATTTATCCAATCATAAAATGTAGTTCAGATCAGGTTCCACCCATCCGGGTTTTACAGAGTTTTTTAGAATAGTTCTTCTGCAATTCGAAGGATGGATGATGGACGTTTGTTTTTGGCGAACATCATAATTTTCTTCCGTTTCCTCTTTTGTTAGGGAAGTTCCAGGAAGCTGGAGTTAGAGACGTAAGAGGTTGTGTTCTTCTTGTGACAACGACTAAGTCTTCGCAACAAACTCAAATCTGATTTCAGAATGGTTGGCTATGTCAGGTTTTTCTGTTCTTCGTGGAGAACTTCTTTTGT